AAGTTTACCCGGACGTCGTTTATATACGTTCTATGTTGCAATGAAATCTGCGGACCCAACCCCAACCCCAACCCCAACCCCAACCCCAACCCCAAACCCAAACCCAAACCCCAACCCCAACCCCAACCCCAACCCCAAACCCAAACCCAACCCCGTATGTATGCAACTTTATATGTATATACCATTTATCAAGTCCATAATTACTTTATTTTTTGAATAAGTTTAGTCTATTTTGACAAACTGTTGATGTTGATCCAAATGGACAATTGTCACAAAATTTTTAGGTTAGAAGTAGAGAAATTTTAGGAAATAGAGAAAAAGATCTATTGTTAGAAAATCTCTATTTTATACTTAAATAAATTATATTTACTTGATATTTTGATAATTTTTAAACTGCATTTTTTTATTAAAATATATATAATGTAAAATTCATGATTGTCATTAGTTGAAATATGCTATTAATGTTGTAACTTAGTAATCCTTTTTAACTTATGGGTTTGGGGGTGTTGTTAAGAATTATTTATAATTTTTATTCATTGTCGATCAAAAATCAAGTGATGTATAAGTATATGTGAGTCGCCATTATTATAATTGATATAAACACAAAATATAAAAAAAATTGATTTCTTCCTCATGTAAATGTGCAAGATACTTTTGGGTAGATATTATAAAGCCTCCTAATCAAGTAATAGAAATTCAATAATATTAAAAAAAAAAAATGAATTGCAGTTAAGGGTAGGTTGAAAATTTGCATGAGATTTTGGATTTAACTAAAGAATTTGATGAAGTATGCTTCCCTATCCTCATTAAATTATTAAAAGTTGAGAAAAGTTTAAAACCCCTTTGAATTTCTCTCATAAGATCTAAATCTAAGGCAAGTCGAATAATAAATATTATAAGTTTAAAATTAATCACTTTTTGTTAAGGAATACATGGTTAGAATAATAAATGTTCTCTTAAAGATTAAGAACCATGGATTTAATTAATAGAATTACCCATTAGATGAATACGAAGATATAAAGGATGATCTGATTGAAAAAATATCATAGGATAATATAATTATAGAATTTCTTAAATTTTTAGTTCATCTTACTTCCCTAGATGAGAGATATATTTAATGTGGATCAAATTCTCTTCATTTATTAGTTTAAATGAAGGTTGATTTGAAGGTACAATCTTTTGTAAACATTAGAATTTAAAATACTTCATTGCTAGGAGCAAATTTAGTGAGATGTGACTTAAGTGGTTCTGAATTTGACAATGTCATTATTAGTGGAATGAATCTAAACTAAGCAAAATTATTTAATTGTAAATGGGAGAATTTAAGAATAAATGAGCTGATGGAGTTTAATGGTCGTGGTGGTAGAGTAAAGTAAATTAGCTTTTCGCAGAATGGTCGTTAATTAGTGACTTGTAGTGAAGACAATTCCATTCGCTTCTTGGATGTTAAAACAGGAAAAATAAATTTTGTATTATAGGGACATAAGGAAGGATAATCAGGCAGCTTCTCAATTAATGATACTATATTAGCTTGTTGTAGTGACAGATTCGTGTATTTAGTGAATCTAAAAACAGGGAAATAAATGTTGAAATTAATTGGTCATACTGGTAAGGTTAGAACAGTTTGTTTTTCTAATGATTATGCAACATTAGCATCAGGTAGTTTAGATAAGTCTATCCGCTTATGGGATTCTAAAGCAGGGTAATAAATAGCCAAATTAGAGGGTCATAAAAGTTGTATTAATTCAATCCGCTTTTCTCCTGATGATAATACTTTAATATCTAGTAGTTATGACAACTCTATTCGCTTATGGGATATTAAGACAAAATAATAAAAAGCCTAAGTAAATGCTTGTGTTTATTAATTTCGATCACTGTGTGTATCTCCTGACGGGAATACAATTGCAATTGGTAGTTGGGACAACTCTATCCGTATATTGGATACTAAAACTGGTTAATAATAAGACAAATTAGATGGTCATTAGAATTAAGTTCTATCATCCTGTTTCTCTCCCGATGGTACTACATTAGCATCAGGTAGTTTAGATAACTCTATCCGCTTATGGGATTCTAAGACAGGATAATAAATAGCTAAATTCGATAGTATTTAAAATTCAGTTGCTTCAGTCTGTTTCTCTCCAGATGGTACTACATTAGCATCAGGTAGTTCAAATAGCTCTATTCGTTTATGGGATATTAAGATAGGATAACATAAAGCCAAATTGGAAGGACATACTAAATCCATCATATCAGTTTGTTTCTCTTCTGATGGTACTACATTAGCATCTGGTGGTTACGATAGCTCTATATGTTTATGGGATGTTAAGACAGGATACTAAAAAACAAATTTGGATGGTCATACAGGTACAGTGTGGTCAGTTTGTTTCTCCCCTGATAATACTACATTAGCATCTGGTTGTTAAGATGGATCTATATGTTTATGGAATGTTAGGACAGGATAATAATAAGCCAAATTTAATGGTCATACTAGCACTGTTTATTCAGTTTGTTACTCATTTGATGGTACTACATTAGCATCTGGTAGTTAAGATAATTCTATCTGTTTATGGGATAATAAAACTGGATAATAATTAGCCAAATTAGATGGTCATTAGCAATCAGTGTTATCAGTCAATTTCTCTCCTGATGGTACTACAGTAGCATCTGGTAGTAATGACAACTCCATCTGTTTATGGGATGTTAAGACAGGGTAATAAAAAGCCAAATTAGAGGGTCATACATCAACAGTTAATTCAGTCAATTTTTCTCCTGATGGTACTACATTAGGCATCTGGCAGTGGAGATAACTCTATCCGTTTATGGGATATCAAGACGGGATAATAAAAAGCCTTATTTGATGGTCATACTGATTATGTTCGATCAGTGTATTTCTCTCCAGATGGTACTACATTAGCATCTGGTAGCTATGATAACTCTATACGTTTATGGGATGTTGAGACAAGAAAATAAAAAGCCAAATTAGATGGTCATACTAGCACTGTATACTCAGTCTGTTTCTCTCCTGATAATTCCATATTAGCATCTGGTAGTGATGATAGTTCTATCCGTTTATGGGATGTTAAGTCAAAATAATATCTCGCACCTTATGAAATTCGTTATAAAGATATTCTGACATAATTTACACCACTTAGATTTAAAAAAAATGTTCTTTCAGAAAATAGTATTTATTTTTCACGAATATTTAGTTACTCATAATATCACTATTTTACGAATTTCCTAAAGAAACTATTTAGAAACATAAGGAGCTTTAATCTTGAAAGGAAAATTCGATAATTATTAAGGAATAGATTTAAAATACTTATTCAAATAAAAAGGGAGTTTGATTTTAGAAAGATGAATCGCATTACAACAATATTTAATGGATTATTATTACAAATCAGTATTTCATATAGTTCAATATTGCTTCAATATTACTATTTTTATTATTTATTATAATATTGATCATAAATCAAACAACTGATACCTCTAAGCAAAAACGCATATATTTTTCTATTATATATATTTGATTATCAAGAATTTCAAATGTGAAGTCGAGTAAAATGAATTATGTTATCAATTTTAATTTTTCAATCTATATATGCCTGGATAATTTTAGCCTTACAATAATTATAAATAATATTCTTCCACAATATTATACTTACTTTCACTATTCTTTTAGCTATTTTTATGAAAGATTACATTTTCTAATTTTCTATTTGAGGATAGTATTGCAATAAGGTGCCATAAATTAATTCAGAATATAAATTGTTTTGATGGTAAAACATGTTTCACAAGATGAAAAATTAATTTTGAATGAGAATTGGAGATTGCTTCTGCTTGATTAATCGGTAATCCTCATAAAGCAGCAAAAGCGGTTGAAT